AGGGGTCAGGACAGGCCGGTGGCGGAGCAAAGGGGGAGGGAGGCCCAGCCTGCCTGCTGACCTGCTGCTGAGGTCACAGCAGGGCTGAGGTGAAGGCGCCCACGCTGCTTACAGTAGTCTAGCAGCTGGTTCAGACTCAGCTCAGCTGTCTGTGAACGGGGGCAGAGACCTCGTGGGGGAGACCGAGACGAGCCGCTCACCTTCAGCAGAGCTGCTGAGACGAAATGCTTTGAAAAAGAAGCATTTACTGAAGCTACCAACATAAAAGTTCACACGTGCCATCATTTAGGCTACCCATCAGCTGCTGTGGGTGCTCTTAGAGGCTAAGCAAGCAGGACACAAGTAAAGTTTTGAATAAAGTCTGCCTCTAGACATCTTCGCCAGCTCTCACAATCGTAGTAGCCCGTTCGTTGCTCCCTGCTTGCTTAAGCTGCCTAGAAAATACCAGCGAACTGCAACACAGGGTGGAATTTAAGCACAGAGTATTTTTGGCACAACTTGCAGTGCTGGGTGACTTGCATTGCTCCTGTTCTTGTGACTTGCATTACTCCAAATACAGCCTGAGGCTGGCAAACACAAGAGCAGCCCTAAGACTGAGCTTAGTCTCCTGTGCTTTTTAAACGTACGTTAAGAGCCCCAAAAGAATAAAGCATTCAGCTATAAAAATTGCATACCCCCCCAACGTTCTGAAGTGAGAGACTGAGCATCTTTGTCTTCCGGACAGCCCAGCCCTGAGCACACCGAGAGACTAACACAGGGAAACGTCACTCCCGCCCTGCGGATAAGATAAACTCAGTACCAACTACAGGAATAGCACAACAGGGAGATAAACACGTTGCTTTGCACGGCGCACGAGCCCGAGACAGTCAGCTGAAGACTGAAAGGAAGAAAAGGACAAAGGAACCAGCCAGATGCTCTGGACTTGAGCAGTGAAGCTTGTTTATGCACTTAGAGCCACGGGGTGAATTTCTTTGTCACATACTTAAGTAGCTTTCCTACTCGCATTCATTTTTAAATCGAAGCAGGTATTAAACAAGTCTTGTTTCTCCTGGTAGTTTCCAAGAAGCTTCTAATCCAGCCTATTAACACTAATCAGATATCAGAATTGCAGTTAATCATCCAATTAACATTAATTACTGTAACTAGGTAATTAGAATCACAGAGTCATAGAACAGCCCAGGTTAGAAGGGACCTCGAAGGATCACCCGGTCCAACCTTTCGTGGGAAGGGAGCCCAGATGAGGTTATCTGGCACCCTGTCCAGTCACATCTTGAAAACCTCCAGCTGGGGACTGGCCGCGTCCCTGGGGAGGTTTTTCCAGTGACTGACCGTTCTCACGGCAAAAAATTCCTTTCTTACATCGAGATGAAACCTCTCCCGGCGCGGCTTGTACCTGCTGCCCCTTGTCCTCTGCACGGGGCTCCCTGAGAAAAGCGAGCCTCTGTACAGAGGGTCAAAGTCCGCATTCAGCCCTGAGCCATCAGCCACCTCGTGCAGTTTTGGCTGATACCAAGTCAGGTGGCCTATTTGTTTTTCACAGATCTCGAGGCTAGAGAAAAAAAAAAAGCGGCCAGCCATGGAAAGGTAAAGGGAGCAATGAGCTGTTATTTCACATCGCCTCCAGCTGAAGGCAGCCCTCGCCACACCAGTTATTCCGAGGAACGTTTCAAAGAAAGGGGAGTCAAAAAAAGCTGGAAACGCTGTAACATAAAAACGTCTGAGCCTACCAAACGTTAGCCTGACCACCTCCCCCTACAGAGTGAGCCAGACAGAGATCTGATGCTACCCACCTCCAAGGCACGGATTTCACACAAAGTCTGATGCTACCCACCTCCAAGGCACGGATTTCACACAAAGTCATGAGGCAAAGTTAAAGTTTATTAGACAAGACTCGTCTCCCTCTTAATACCCTTCTAGTCACGTGAACAAGCTTAGCAACACGGAGTTGATAACACAGCGAGGTAACAATCGCCTTATTAGCTCTATTACTGGTCGTTTTCATAGTCAGCGGGGTTCTTCCTCTTCAGCCTCTCAAACTCTTGTGTTCCCCAGGAGTAAAGGAGATAGGCGCCCAGAAAGGCTGGAAAGGAAAGGGGACACTCACAAGCCGCCCTGCCCCGAGCGGCCTGAACCAGCGGGCTTCTGTGACGAGAGACAGCGTCACGCAAGGCCGCCGTCACACAGACGCCAGCCCCGGCCTCCCCCATCCCCAAAACGACGATTTTTGAGGGGGAGGGGAGGGGGGAGGACACCCCCCCCCAAAAAAAA